GCGATTCTGTCTTCTAACGATTCTAATGGATTCACAAGTTTCAAAATCAATGTTCAAAAGCAGCGGTTCTTAATACTGTTCCTCGCGTTTAGCCAATCACAACACACTGGGCTAGCTAACCAATCAGAGCCCATCGCCTATTTCTGAGGGCGGGGCTTAAAAACAGGAAAAGATCAGGCCGTTTCTCAGAGAAGGGACAGAGCTGTGTGGAATAAAGGTAAATTATGTGAAAAATAATGAGTTTTTTTAAAAACTAAGCATTAACACGTGTTAGACTGCACCCCATAAACACAATCAAGCCTAGAAAAAAAACAGTGAACCACCCCTTTAAAATGAAAATGCCTTAATTGTGGATTTGTTTCTTACAAACACATATTTTTGCTTCACGAGATGTTAACTGATGGACTGGACATGTGTGGATTACTTGTGGATTATTGTGATGTTTTCATCAGCTGTTTGGACTCTCATTCTGACGGCACCCATTCACTGCATTGGTGAGCAAGTGATGTAATGCTAAATTTCTCCAAATCTGTTCAGATGAAGAAACAAACTCATCTACATCTTGGATGGCCTGAGGGTGAGTAAATGTTACACAAATTCAAATTTTTTGGGTGAACTATTCCTTTAACACATCTTATTAAGTTTTTTTTTTGTTGAAGTTGACTTTCAGATGCTTTACTGATGAATTATCTTGCTGCAGGACATATCGTTTTGGATGAGGATCAGGAGAGGACAGTGCTGGTGGTCAGTCTGGGGGTCATTCCCCCTCTGGAGACCATTAATATACTGGTCAGCACCTCCTCTGAGCTCCGCACACTCCCTAAAGGGGGAATTCGGGTGACCTCACCACCCGTCTGCTCTCCAAGAGTCCAGCGTTCTGTCAAAGAGGAGCAGGCATTTTCGCCCAGCACTGCTAGGAGGTGTGTGATTCATTAGTGTTATTATAGTATTTACATGGAAACACTGTATTTATAATCCTCTAACATTCTGGTGTCTGTTCTAAAACTCCAAATCCAAAACATTCAGTCTGAACTTAACATACGATCTCCAATTTAAAGTCTATATTGTGTTTTGTAGATAATTTCAGCTTTATCTGCTCTGCCTATTTCATGTTTTGTAAATGTTATACTTTTTAGGAAATTTAAGATTAAAGTTTGAAACGCTCCCATTTACCTATAATGACATGTTTGATAGTGTAATATTTGCATACTTAATTGCATTCCCGAACGAAGGACTCTTATAAACGAGTTCTTTTTAGTGAATCAAAAAATGACAGGACAACCAGTGTGGTCCAATTCCTGAATAAATGACTCTTATGAGTCAGTTTTTTTTAGTGGGTTTAAAACATACAGGACAACCAGTGTAGTCTGATTCCCAAATGAATGACTCTTATGAGCCGGCTCCTTTCGTGAATCAAAAACATACTGATTGGTTGTTCATATAACAAATCTCTGACATCGTTCTGATATTTGCATACTGAATTGCGACTGGTCTTCCTTCTTGCATTTATTTGCATACAGAATTTTTACTAAACTAAATTTACTACATTTTTTAAACATGGAAATTGGAAATTAAACAACATCAGACCCCACTGACTTCATATCATACTGGTAAAAATGAAGTTTGACTCTCTACCTGCTGATTTGTCTCAGGAGGGATCAGCATCATTGTTCAGTGGGAGCCCATGAGCAGACGGCCTCAGGTGTGTGTTTGGCTGCTATGTTGGAGGAAGAGACCATCAACTCCATTGACTATGAGTTTAATTTCCATCTTGAGATCAGAGGACCGTATTTACTGGCAGGTCAGTTCCTCCATCCTCTTGCATGAGAACTTAGTATTTTAGAATTGAATATTATAACCCTGATCATGGGATTTATGATTTATTTACACACAAATAAATATAAATGCATGTAAAATGGAATGATTTATTTGGATTAAAATGTCTAGCAAATGCATAAATGTCAAATATATTCAGATAACCTTCTATAGCTTACATGATGTTTGATATGTTAATAGTTTGAGGTGCTGACTTTTCATACTGATAACATGTATATCTTAAATACACTGCAGGTTGCATTGGATAAAAGTGCCTGCCAAATGCAAAAATTGTAAAATGCAGCATATGCTTGTTATTTCAGTTGGGACGCGTACACAAATGATGTTTGATGCGTTGATAGCTTAGTTGTATTATTGGACACTAGTTGTTTTGCAGTGTTCATATTCTTGCTGGAGTTGCAGAAGGTTTTAGTTCTCAAATGTGGTCTAATGTCTGTTGCTCCTGCTTATTTTAGATGCTTTAGAAGTTTCTTTGTGCAGGTGTGGAAAGCCCCTCACATGCCATCCGTGCAGACGCTGACCCCTCGGCTCGCTCTGCCACCAATATTGTGGTCACGCTGGCAGACAAGTACACCTACGACTGCCCTGTGGAGATACTGATCTACCCTAGTGGTGTGTAGCAAACATAAATACAATAATTATACTGTTTATCATGATCTGAAAATGCAGCACAAAACAATGACGAGCCGGTTCCTTTTAGTGAATCAAAAACATACAGCGTAAACAGTGTAGTCTGATCCTTGAACAATTGGCTCTGAATTGGTTATTTTTTAGTGAATCAAAAACATACAGCGTGACCCGTGTAGTCCGACTCCTCAACGAATGATTCTTATAAGCTGGTTCTTTTTAGTCAATCAAAAATGTACAGCACAACCAATGAGGTCCGACTTCCGAACGAATGACTCTTATAAAATGGTTTAGTGAATCAAACATTTTCAGCGCAGACTGTGTAGTCAGATTCCTGAAGGAATGACTCTTATAAACCTTTTTAAGTGAATCACAAACATACATCCTAACTATTTTTTTGTGAATCAAAAACACGCAGCATAACCAGTGTAGTCTGGTTCCCGAACAAATGACTCTTATAATCCAGTTCTTTTAGTGAATCATAGTGAACACAGTACAGTGCAACTACAGTAGTCTCATTCGTAAACAATAGAATCTGAGTTGGTTGTTTTTAGTGAATCAAAAACAGACAGTGCAACCAGTGTAGTGTGGTTCCTGAATGAATGACTCTTATGAGCTGGTTCTTTTAGTGAATCAAAAGTGTAAGTAAAACAAAAAGTTTACAGCTACCTTTGAGAATTAAATCAGAGTAGTTACTGACTGGTTGTCAAGTCAAGTCAAGTCAAGTCAAGTCTGCTTTATTGTCAATTCTTCCACATGTACAGCACATACACACAGGTTGTTCATATGACATGCAGTAAATATGCAAAAATAAATAAATACAATTAAATATGTATGTTTAATTTGTTTAGGATAATGTTGTTGAAAATATAGTGAACACCAGTTATTGGCTTGCATTTATGCTGCCTCGAAAAAGATTGTGAAACGTCGTTTTCTTTGTGGATCTTCCCAACAATGCTGTTTTTTGTCAGGCCATTTGGTCCCCACATGGACAGACAAACAAGATCACAGCCAATCTGACCTGTGCTAACTGGACAATAGAGTCGGCCTTTCAGAACAAGTCAGTGCTAATCTCTCCATGTGCCTGAAAGCTTGTCCAAACAAGAGGCGCTTTATTAAATCATAGGCTATTAAAACATCATTCCCAGGTCCACAGCCATATAACATAATTTCTCGCTCTATAAGCACTGTTTAGTTGAGCTCTATATTTCTTCAGCCACCCCATCATGCACCTCGACCTCCACCGGCGTCTGAGAGGCATAAATGAATCCCTCGATGCCTCATAAGCTGCCGCATAAGATTGCCTCACTCTGCAGGTGACCCGAGGCCAGTATTGTGCAATTGAATTGATAAGGGAGCCGAGTCAAAGGGGCAAACGTTCAGCCGTATTGATGGTGCCAACGCACTCCGTGTCTAATACAGCTGCTGTTTTTAAGAAATACCGCCACCGTGGGAGTCCTCAGTCCTTCATGTCTGGCAGTAATGCATCTCATTGTCTGCTGTCATAATTCACTGTTGTGCCTCCACACGGAGAGGTTTTAATACTGTACAGACTGAGATAGTAATTCCTCTTTTCTTTGTGTAGAGCCCCATCTGCCACACGTTCTCATCGAAGACGGAGACATGACGCCGGAGGAATACGATGAGCATCTGAAAGGCCGGAGCGACTATATAAAGGCCACGAAGAAGGACTGCAGTAATGAAAAGACAGTGAGTGAGGGTGAATAAGGGAATACAGAAAACAGACATAAATACAGATGGAGTAGGCCGTACAAGGACAAAAAATATCAAAACAAGTAGTACAACACTATGACGCTTTTGTGTTACTTTTTCAAACTACACATAATTGGTAAAGTCTAGCAAAAATGATTATTCTGCAGCCAGGATCATAAACTGCACAGGAAGTGGTGATTGTTTCAAATAATGTTCTCAAGATGTGTTTTTGTGACTGAGAAGTTCAGAAGCAAACCAGCATGTAATATAACAGATTAAGATTTTTTCATGGAATGATTTTGTTCACTGACAAGAAGTACTAAAAAGTGTTATGAACAAGGAAACCACAGTTCTTTTAGATGTATAAACCTAGAAAAAAAAAGATAAAACTGTGATTTAATTATTTCCATCCAGTCAAATTCAGTAAATTGTGACTTATTTGCACAATATTAATATCGATAAATGTAATTATTAATAACATATTGTTTATATATTTATTTAGTGAATATATATTCAGTAACTTTTAATTTATTTTATTTTTTTAATATATATATATTTGCACCATTCAAAAGTTTGGGGTTGGTAAGAAGTCTTTTATGCTCATTTGTTTGATTATAAATACAGTAAAAAAACAGTAATATTGTGAAATATTATTACAATTGAATCAATTCCTGTGATGCAAAGCTGAATTTTAAGTAGTCATTTTATTTTTTTTATAGAAAGTTCAAAAGAACAGCATTTACTTAAAATAAAAATCTATTGTAATAGTATGAATGTCTTTACGGTCAGTATTGATAACTTTAATGCATTCTTGCTAAATAAAAGTAAAAAAAAAAAAAAAAAAAAAATAAAATTTTACTGACCGCAAAGTTTTAAATGGTAGTTTATATATTCTTTCTGAACTTTTCCATGCACCCCTTTGTCTGAGACTCCAGTCACTCTCTAAAATATTCAGGGTTTTTAACACCAAGCTGTTAGATCAAGCCTAATGACACTCATACTGAAAATCAAGTGTGAAATCAAATTTAGTTAGGTTACCTATTTAATGCAAAATCTCTTGACAGTTCTTGCTAATTGTCGCTTCAGGAGGTAGTTACATTAAGTGGGAATGTCAGCACAGATCCATGTTTCTTAGAAGCGCAAAGCTTCAATTGCATCCTTAAGTGAGTGCTTTTTTGCTCAACAGGAGGGAGAGAACATTCAGCCCTAAAATCATCTGCAGTGAATAGACGTTTCTATGGAAACCGTCAAAGGTCTTCGGCTGAGTCCGTAGTGTTTCTACCTACCGTGCAGCGAAATAAGAGTTAACTTCACCTCCTTTGGGATGTGTGCTCCTTTAATTAAATCTTTAGAGCACGAGAGGGGAATCCGTGAACCGTAAAAGATTTTCTAAATTATGATCTTGGCTCATAGTTTCACATGCTTATGAATATCTAGCGCTATCAATCATTTGCTGACTTGAGCGGAATGATACTGAATAACAGAAATGAAAATGATCATTTATTCACCCACATCTTATTCCCATATTACTTACTTTCTCCTTTTGAACACAAAAGGAGAAATTTTGATGAATGTTCTGGTTAATTTTTTCCCTCATACAATAATCAGGTAGCTGACATTAATACTATCTGAATCTGAATTTGGAAAATAGAATAGAAAGGACAATATTTGTGCTCAGTTTTATACAAGACATTTTATAGAAGACGTGTGTATGTAGAAGAAAGCTATTTCCAGCAAAGCGAGCCAGGGAAACAGCAGATTTCTGAGAAGTAATTTAATGTACAATGAACTAACTAATTGAACCGTGATGTAAAGTGGTTGAAATACATCACTAATTTAAGATTCTTTCTTCAGAGTAGTTCACAATAGGCTAATTGGCATCCCTCAGATGAGCTTGAACTCTGTCAAGTGCACAGGATTCGAAACATTTCACACACACTTCCAACCTTACGATGAACTCTTAACCTTTCATTGAAGAGTTTGCATCCACAGCCTCCAGGTTATTATCACCCACATTCTTTGTGAAGTTTTTTTTTTCTTCCTTTTATTTTCCTTTTCTTTCTTTTTTCTATCTAAATGATAATTTTTGTACATATAATTTATGTCATTTATATATACAATATTAATATTTTGTGTGCATTTTTGCACAAATGTATATGTATAAATACATACAAATAAA